AATTAGCATGAAGCAGGAGTCATGTTCCTAGCCAGTTCGACCTACGATGGAATCTGTGCCCCTTTTGTTTCCACTGCCCTCTGCCCAATCGCATGAGGGGGTGGGTGCTGGCAGGGCAGGTGTCCTCATGTCCCGAGTAACATACACTCACTGGTTTAGAGGTAAAGTGGGGATTTCAACAAGTGGACTGCAGACAAAGTGGAGACGACGTCACATTTCTTCAAGTTTGTGTTCTACTTGTCCAACAGCATTCAGTCTCCATCACTGGCAGATTCTGCTGCATGCATGATTAACAAGCGTCATGCTCTCTGCTCAGCAGTGTACATAGGGATCCTGGTCCCACCACTGGGATTTGCAGTAGAAAAGCAAACTGAAATGGGCCATATTAGCCCTTCAAGTTCTGCCAGACTACAGATATGGGAAGCTCCAGGTTATGGCTCATTAAGCATGTCTTTACATGGCCCTCGAAACAAACTACAAGTTAACCATGCGAGTGCACACAAGCACATCATAGGTGCACTCCAGTACTTCATTAAATAGCACTACACCTTTGTTGGGCAGGAGTGTATACTAAAGTTTATAAGAACATGTTTGCCAAAAACAACTACCTGCTGGCAAACTGTCCAGTGCCTCAGGAAGGGGAAGCAGTGCCCTGCCAAAACTGTTTACAGTGGAGGTGGGCAGTTGTTGATCTCAACTGGGGACATCGATGGACGGTGGAAGGAATACTTTGAGGAGCTCCTCAACCCCGGCGTCACATCTTCCAGTGAGGAGGCAGAGGCTGAGGGCTTAGAGGCGGACTCGTCAATTACCCAAGCTGAAGTCACCGAGGTAGTTGAGAAGCTTCTTGGTGGCAAGGTACCGGGGGTAGATGAGATACGCCCTGAGTACCTTAAGTTAAGGATGTTGTGGGGCTGTCTTGGCTGACACGCCTCTGCAACATCATGTGGCAGTTGGGGACAGTGCCTCTGGACTGGCAGACTGGGGGAAGTGTTCCAACTATAGGGGGATCACACTCATTAGCCTCCCCGGGAAAGTCTATGCCAGGGTACTGGAAAGGAGAATTCGACCAATAGTCAAACCTCGGATTCAGGAGGAACAATGTGGTTTTCGTCCTGGCCGTGGAACACTGGACCAGCTCTATACCCTCTTCAGGGTGGTGGAGGGTTCATGGGAGTTTGCCCAACCAGTCCACATGTGTTTCGTGGAACTGGAGAAGGCATTCGACCATGTCCCTCGCGGCACCCTGTGGGGGGTGCTCCGGGAGTATGGGGTCCGGGACCCTTTGCTAAGGGAGGAGCTTGGCTTGCATTGCCGACAGTAAATCAGACTTCTTTCCGGTGCAGGTTGGACTCCGGCAAGGATGCCCTTTGTCACCGGTTCTGTTCATTATTCTTATGGACAGAATTTCTAGGTGCAGCCAGGGGCTGGAGGGAATCCCGTTTGGGGACCACAGGATCTTGTCTCTGCTTTTTGCAGATGGTGTTGTCCTGTTGGCTCCATCAAACCAGGACCTTCAGTGTACACTGGGGTGGTTTGCAGCCGAGTGTGAAGCAGCTGGGATGAGAATCAGTACCTCCAAGTCTAAGGCCATGGTTCTCAGTCAGAAAAGGGTGGCTTGTTCCCTTCAGGTTGGTGGAGAGCTCCTGCCTCAAGTGGAGGAGTTCAAGTATCTTGGGGTCTTAGTTCATGAGTGAGGGAAGGATGGAACGGGAGATTGACAGGCAGATCGGTGCAGCTTCTGCAGTAATGCGGTCGATGTACAGGTCCGTTGTGGTGAAGAAGGAGCCGAGCTGTAAGGCGAAGCTCTTGATTTACTGGTCGATCTACGTTCCGACTCTCACTTATGGTCAAGCGGCCGAAATGAGCTTTCTCTGCAGGGTGGCGGGGCACTCCCTTAGAGATAGGGTGAGGAGCTCAGTCACCCGGGAGGAGCTCAGAGTAGAACCGTTGCTCCTCCACATCAAGAGGAGCCAGCTGAGGTGGCTCGGGCATTTGTTTCGAATGCCTCCTGGGCGCCTTCCTAGGGAGGTGTTCCGGGGCATGTCCCACCAGGAGGAGGCCTCGGGGAAGACCTAGGACACGCTGGAGGGACTATGTCTCTCGGCTGGGCTGGGGATTGCCTGCTGCTGCTGGAGACAAAATTGTTGAGAGTGCTAAGAGCAAACGAAATGATGCCAAAAGGCTCATAGACCTCAGGGAAACTGAAGAGCTGGATGAGAATTTTCTGAGTTTGTCTCCATGATCAGCCCCTTTCATATTACACCTAATCCCTTGATCCATTGTTAATGTAAAAATAATGTGTTCAACTTTAGGTAGAGTAAATGTACTTTCTACCATTGGTGTGAAGTCTAATTAGTACCAACTAATCATTTACTGGTAGATGTCTATACCATATAATTTCTCACATTAAGATTAAAGTATTATTTAAAATTCTGGTGGGCCTTGAAAAGGACTCCTTCACAGTATTTGTTATTGTGGTGTACAATCCCAGCTGTAACTGTAGCTTCATTTCAAATGCTGATGCTACTTGCTCTCTGTGCATAACCCTTTTCAACAAACATCCTTCAAATAACAACAAAAGATTCAGCATTTTCATTTTTTGCTTTTTATTTTTGCAAATAAGAAAATAGCATTTCTGGTATTTAAAAAAAAAAGAGCCTGTGTTTAACCTGATACAGAGACAGGACTGTGAGAGAAACAGAGCCAGACAGAGAACTGGATGATGATTAGAGGATACAGGCCTGGATGTAGGTCAGTAGAGGCAGCCTGGGGCGGCTCAGACACAAAGACAGCACTGGTTCAGACAGATAAACACGTCTGCCCGTCTGTCTGTTGTAAATAGGCTTCTACATTACTAAGTACGGTTGTGCTGAAAGCATGAAATCTGGTGTACATTTCTCAGAGACAAAGATGTGACTATGACTGCTGCATAAATGCTGGCGCACTGCTACATGCAGAAGTGCTAAACCTTTCTGTTTATCCAAAAGTACAAATGTTGTCTGCTGGTTCAACAGACCGGTAGTCTAATGAGCATCCACGTGGATCAAACAATGAATGATAATAGTGCAGTTTAACCTTCCTTTAAAACATGTTGGCATTTTATGATTCCGATATAGTTCACGGAACTGCCATAAGAGCACAAAAACTGTTTCTCACTTTCCACTAACACAAGTGCACTTGAGACCAGCAGACTTAATGGTTTGTCCCAGACCATCATTAGTCTGACATTCCACAGATTGTTCACGCTACAAACACACAACGGACCAAAAACCTCTCCAAAAACATGGCTGAATAGCTTAATGCACTGACTGAAATTCCTCTTTCATTAAAAAAACATCCATATAAAGGCTACAAGCTGTACATGTATCTTTGTCCATTATATTCAGTACACATTTCGAGTAGGCTAATACAGATGACTGAATAGATATTAGCTGCCTTTCCAGCTGTTTCAACTATTAGTTTTTCTCACTACTACAACCAAAAGAAAACAGTAAGTGCTACTCTAATTAAGAAAGAGCGGTGTTTCCCATCATTTTTGCACCACTGAGCCAAAGTATAACATACACAGTCATGGCCAAAAATATCATCATCATCATTATTATTCAGCCGACCTTTGTGGCTTACAAACTACTCAATCTACAGTCATGGGCAAATATGGACACCCCTGCATTTTTGTCAGATAATGTCTTCCAGAACATTGTTGCAATCACAAATTCTTTGGTATTCTCATGTTTATTTCTTTTGTTTGCACTTGAACAACACAAAAAGAAGAGAAAAAGCCAAATCTGATCCATTCCAAAATAACTGAAATCAATCACTTTCTGTAACCATCAGTGAGTTTCTTCCACCTTTCTACTGGAACTTGGGACCACTTTTCTTTTACCAACTGCCCCGGGTATTTGATTTGAAGGGTTTCTTCTCCCAGCTGCTGTTTGAGATCTTTCCACAGCTGCTCTATGGGATTTAGATCTGGACTCATTGCTGGCTTCAGAACTCTCCAGCTCATTGTCTGAAACCATTTCTGGTGCTTTTTATGTCTGTGTGTCAGCAGTGGGTCTCCTACCATAGTGTCCCTTGTCATTCAGATGGCGACAGATAGTGCAAGCTCACACTGATGCACCCTGGTCCTGTAGGTCAGCTTGAATTTGTAAGTTGATCGAAGTTCTTTATCCACCATTCAAACAATCCTTCATTACAATCTGTCATATATTTTTCTCTTTTGTCCACATCCAGGGAGATTAGCTACAGCTCCATGGGCTATAACCTTCTTGACAATATTGTGCACAGTGGACACAGTAACAGCCAGATCTCTGGAGATGGACTTGTAGCCCTGAGACTGTCCAGGTTTTTCCACTATTGTGGTTCTCAGATCCTCAGACAGTTCTTTGCTCTTCTTTATTTGCTCCATGCTCAGTGTGGTCCACATGACACAAAGGTTGAGTCAACTTTTCTCCATTTTAACTGGTTGCAAATGTGATTTCTATATCACCAGCACCTGTTGATTACTACAGGTGAGTTTCATTACAAATTACAGGAGCATCAAATGCTGGATTATAACTATTTCTGATTATTTTGAAAAGGTGTCAATAATTCTGTCCAGTCTGTTTTTGGATCTCTGTGTAATGGATCAGATTTGGCTTTTTCTCTGCTTTTTTTGTGTTGTTCCACTGCAAACAAAAGAAATAAACATGAGAAAGCCAAAGAATGTGATTGCAACAACTTTCTAGAAGAAGTGGTGCGTTAATCTGACAGAAATGCAGGGGTGGTAATGTTTTTGGCCATGACTGTAGATTGAGTAGTAAGCCACCTAAGTCGGCCGAACAGTGAATCTCAAGAAAATTTCAGGGAACAAAGAGCTTATAAACTGTCATGCACTGACGGTGTCACTTTCATGCTCTCACAGGGCCAGAACAGGGATTTCTGGTTTGGCAATCCCCAGTTCTGAATCACAGTTAAGTAAGAACAGTCATATGATAAGACTACAATCATGTGATACAGACAAAGGCATTGATAAAGATCAGGACATACTAGGACTGAGAAAAGGCAGGCAGCTCAAAATAGGGAAGATTTTGATTGGACAAATGCAATAAAGTCTACGTTTGGAAGTATAAACATTGGAAGTTTAGGAGTATGTCTCTACTCATCTCAGCTGTGAACAATGTCACAAAGTATAATATGACTGAATCAATGTCTCAGCATTAATATCATGAGTCCTACCATTCAATCTGGGTGTACTTCACAGAAACGGCTTCTGCTTCAACAGAATTCCACCTTACATAGATGTCTGTCACACTCCACCATGTGAATTGTGTCCGTCGTGAGCCTTATGATTAAAATGCATGGCAGAAATGTGATGCTGAAGTGTAATGTTTCACTTTAACAACACACAAAAATGTTGGGAAGCTTTATCCTTGTGGACCCTGAAGTTTGGCTTTGAGGAAGAGGGGCGAATGCATAAGTAGAAAGGACACTATATAACATAATACAATTTTACAGACACTTCCATTACTGGTTACCACCGTACTTCCAGTAGCACCTGGTAGTAGCCTGGTAACAGGAGCATTAGTGCAAGCAGTGGTGGCAATAGGGGCTGCTCTGTAATACTGCCTGCTGTTATGTGTTTTATGCATGTGTGAAAGCAAGGAAATATACTTTCAGCTGAGTTTCTTCCTGATGCAGCTGTTACTTTGGTGTAAGACAAGCTGCTCAGAAGGAACAGTGAAAGATAAACAACAGTGAGGAGAGAAAGGAAGGAAATGGGGGAAACAGCAGCCAGCTTTCAAGACTGAATGTTCTGTTCGTCAAGCACCAACAGCCCTGAGGGGGACCCCCGCCCCCACCCCCCATATCAGAGCCAGGCTAGACAGGGTGGGTGGATTGGTGCGGGGCAAGGTTTAGGCCAGTTTAAGTGTGTCACACAGTGGCTCTGATAATCCTGCTGGGCCTGGAGGTGCGATGGACCTTTGTGTGTTTGGATAAGTGGTCACTGCGGGCAAACTTCTTCTCGCACAGTGAGCACTCGTACGGTTTGATGCCAGAGTGAGAGCGGCGGTGACGAGACAGCTCGTCAGATCGGGAGAACCTGGTGACACAAGAGCACACAGGTGGAGTAAGGAACATTATTTCAAAGGGAGTTAAGAGAATGCACCCATTCATCACATGGTAAGAACACAGGTACCAAACTGTCAATGTCCCCTGCATGAGCTGAGTCCGCTGTGCAAGGGTGCAGCTTGAAGTTCTAGGCTGACTAAAAGGAAACGGCTCTGGGCTCCTGGATTATTCAAATTAAATTCTAATTTACAAAAAAATATTTCATAAATATAACAACTTCCTTGGCTAACGTAATTTAGCTAATTCAGTATGTGTTAGCTATGTTAGCCATTTCTTTACTTGCAAATTTGGCTATTTCTGCTCTCTCTATTGTTATCATTCACAAGAACTACTCCCCAGCAAAGTCATAGACTACTTATGGTTCTAACTACTGCCCTGAGTAGTGACTTTTTGGAACTAGCAAAGAAGGCTCATCTGGCAAGCTCTTGAACCTTTTCCACTTTTAGTACAACTCAGTGCAACATCATTCATCAAGTCTCTGGGTTGGCCAAAAAAAACAAAACATGTACATTCCTGTTAGATTACCATCATTAAAAAAAAAAAAAAAAGAGGATGAGATTATTGTTGCACTGAGTATGATAAACCACTGTGCAATGTTGTGGTATCTAATAATGGAAACTGGATTTCCTTGATTGTGTCACATCATTTCACAACATCATGAAAGAACACCTCCAACCAGTGCAGCCTCTTGCATCAATCAGTGGGAAAATCTCCCAGAAACTTGGTGCATTCCTGTAATCGTGATCTTAAACTTGGTACAGTACCCATCAAGCCACATACCTCCAGCCACACTCAGGCCAGCTGCACGTGTAGGGTTTCTCTCCTGTATGACACCGGAAGTGAGCTTTCAGATGGCTACTCTTGGTGTACATCTTCCCACAGCCTGGGTGGGAGCACTTATGCACCCTCTCTGTAGGCGGCAATCTGGTCACCCGATGGGGCACGGCCTTCAACAAGCTGTCGTCCTGGGCCCCAACCTCAGTCACACCTGCAATCTCTACAGTCCTCATTGTGATGGGCAGAGGGGCTATCTTCACATACTTCTGGTCAGCTGATTTGATATCGCCGCTGGTTATTGATAACAAGGTGGTGGGGGTGGAGGGTACCTGGGGGGCCAATAAGGTGAGATTTTGTCCTGTGGCACCCTGGATCCCCATTACCAGATGAGTGAGCCAAATTCCATTTTGGGCCCCATGAGAAGAGCCTGCTGATGTCTGAGGGTGGGCCAGAGGGAGGGGCTGGAGCTGGAGAACTAGCGGAGTGCCCAGGAGCATCGGGGAGGTTAAGGTGGATGGTGAGGGTGTTACTTCGGCACCTGGACTGGGGCCGGTATGCTCATTCTGAGGGGTGTTTGGGCTGGAAGTACAATGGGAGGCACTAGTCCCCATGTCACTGCCAGTCTCTGAGGCTGGGGGCACAGTCGAAGATGGAGAGTCAGCAGAGCTGCATGGTAGAGGGGACACCTCCTCTTTTGGGGCCACGAACCCCTCTTTGACCACTTCCATCTTTTCTCTCAAAAACTCCTCTATATCTTCCAGGGTTGGGGAGAATGGGGATGAGGGAGGCAAAGAGAATTCTGGCAGCTTAGGCTCCTGACTCTCAGGTTCATCTTCTCCTGTTGCTCCCAGAAAAATATGCAGACACGCCCCGTTGTCTTCATCATCTTCTTCCTCATCTTCCTCCTCTCCAGGGCTGCAGCTGTGCATGGCTCCCAACTCCTCAGCCTCTGGGCTGTCACAGGAGGCTGGACTGCCCACCTCACAGCGTGTTCCATCTGCCAGGCCAAGGGAGAACAGACTGCTGCTGCTGCTACTGCTGCTGCTGCTGCTGTCCCTGAACAGATCATTTTCCAGACTCCGTGTTCTGCTGCTGAGAGACACCATTGATCCAGGCCAAACACAGAAGAGAGGATGTCAAGGAATCTCTGTCCAAGAGAAATTACAAAAACCTGCAAAAATGATATTTAGACAGGCTTGTATTACCCAGCAGAAAGACAAAGTACATGAAGAGAAAATGACCTTAAACTTTAAAGGTATGCACCAACATATTTAAGAGGTCAGTTTATCCCACAGGCAAATTCTTAGAGACTGTTTTTACAGGCTGTTTTATTCCAGCTTAATTTTGACATATTGTCTTTTATTACTTGCCAGATGGGCAACAGACACTTTACCACTTTATCTGGAATCATGCTCCATGTTGGCCCAATAAAGCAAAAGAAGCTCCGTCTTATATGTTGACATAGAGCCCCAGTACAAGACACCACTACAAAATTAGGTAATAATGTAATACCAGACTTAATTTGGCAGTTTAGTGGTGTATGGTATATAAGAACTTTGTAATTAAGCAGTTTCCAAAACCAACTGGGACACTGTGAAGCTGGAGCTTCTGAGGCTTCTAGTTGGAGCCCTAGGGCACTACCGGTGATCCAGCTTCACCCAGACTTGCAGGTGAATGCATCATTCTGACATTGGATATCCCATCTATGTATGAAAGATGTTGCTGTCAAACACAAGGCCCACATGAAGAGGGAGCCTCCCACTATGTATTCCTTATGAAACCTTTAAAATAGATGTTCAATTTTCAGCATGTGACTAGTACCATTGTTTGAGCATAAAACAAGTTAACAGCAGCAGAGCATTTAATTAGCTGGGACCCCAGGGATTTTTACTGAGGTCCCTAGCAGGTCCGCAGTCCCCACATTTGAAACCAGAGTCCAAACAGACACGGCGCACAGTTGTTAAAAAATATCGCCATTGGCATGTATCTGGGTTGTCTGCTGTTGCTGTGTCAGACCGCCATGCACGCACATGTTGCAGCAAGGCCGCATACTTTACACAGGGCATGACCACGACGCTGGGTAAACACGGCCCGCACCGACGCACCCACAGTCATTAGGAGAGCAAAACTCACTCTGGGCAAACAATGGCCCTGTGATAGCGCACAAAACAGCGCTCTGACTACATTAACACCCGAGGAGCAGTCGACAACTCGATAAATTGGCCAGGAGACAAATTCACAGGAATCCACGAGTCTCAAGTTCGGCTGGGTCAAAATGTTCTATTTAGACTCCTCCGTGTCACCGGATGAGCCGCGCAGGAGAATCCCAGACATCTGGCTCGACATACCGTGTGTAGTTCGGAGGAGACTCGCTGGGAAAAGCAGCGCCGTCGATTGGTCTCTCTATTTTCGTGCTTTATTTTTCCTTCCGTCGCGTTAATTTCAAAACACACTCACATCCCGTCCTTGCCACGGGTCCATGTTGGCATTCCGCTTCCCAGCGTCACGTGACAGCATGGCTGCACAACTCGGAGGTACGGGTCCTGTTCCGCCTTTCTGATTGGCCGAGGTCAGCGGAGGCTCGCCCTAAAAGAAGCGCTCTGATTGGCTACCACTCGATAAATTCCGACTGCCATGTGTTGATGGAGGGATCTCTATGACGGGGTTTAATGGTATACAGTGTGTCTTATTAATGCTGTATACTGGGGGCGGTGACGAAAATAAAGGAAACACCTGTTAGTGTAACTGACAATCTAAACAGGTCTACCAGAAACGCTTCAGTGCTCCTGCGTCTGTGAGAAGAAAAAGGAAGACATCTTATCTAACAGTAATGCTGTAAGGTTAATACTTGAGGTGTGCAGTCGCGGACATTTAACAATCATCTGCGACTGCTTTGCTCGCACGCACCCCCTTCCCCCACGCCATCCTGGTACTTGAGTCTAGCACTACCTTCTGAGAGGTGCTGAATCAAAGCGGGCTCACTTTAGTGGAAACAAACGCAGAACCACTTGGTAGGATCCTGTAATTGGAAAACCCCTTTACAGACTGGTGGTCTGTCTAGGGTGTACCCCGCCTATCGCCCAAGATTGGCTGGTAACTTCCTCAAAGGGATCTTCCATATGCAAAATTGCAAAGACAAAACACCAGATATTGTTCAGTTCACACTAGGCAGTGCTTCTCTGTGAAATGCAACACCTCAACACCTTGTTCTTCTTAACAGAGTCATTCAACACAAATTGTATAATCAGTGGTGTTCATTGACAGCAAACTGTTCCAGAAATATGCTAGACAATATGAAAGACGCACAGTACGTTACCCAGTGTGAGGCTTCATCTTCATTTTCTCAAGTTCTTTGTTCATCAAGTACAAAACTATCAGCATAATCAGTTTTACTTCAGCAGGCTGTGTTTTTGATAGTCACTGTGCCAGTGAAAGCACAACATACGTCATTCTTGGGTTTTTGTTATCAGAAATACATCAGCCCACATAATGAGGTGCCTTTAAGTTTATGCTATATTTAAATCTCCTTAACCAACTCATCCCTGCAACTCCCTTTACTTGGAAATGGCAAGTTATTATTGCAGTTTTGCTGAGCATCTACATCTCTGTAATAGATCTTCAGTGCTCTTGGGCCTAGGGAAATAAACGAGCCCTCGTGCCTTGTTCTGCAACAATTAGGTTAATTAAATTTACAGATTACTGATTTAGGTGAGAATTTGCATCATATAAGCATATCAACTGGAAAAAAAACAATTTAAAAACCAGAGACATAGTGAAAGAAGCTGTGCAGGAGTTTAAGTATTTGGGGTCAACAGTCCAGTGTGATGGGGAGTGTAGGCAAGAGATGAAGAGGCGAGTGCAGGCAGGTTGGAGTGGGTGGAGAAAGGTGTCAGGAGTGTTGTATGACAGAAGAGTGGCAGCAAGAATCAAATGAAAGGTGTACAAGACAGTAGTGAGACCAGCTATGCTGTATGGGTTAGAGACTGTAGCAGTGAGGAAAAGACAAGAGGCAGAGATGAAGATGTTGAGGTTCTGTTTAGGAGTGACCATGATTAGGGATGAACACATCAGAGGGACAGCACAGGTCAGTCGTTTCGGGGACAAGGTCAGACAGGCCAGATTGAGATGGTTTGGACATGTGCAGAGGAGGGATAGTGGTTATATTGGTAGAAGGATGTTGGAGATGGAGCTGCCAGGCAAGAGGTCAAGAGGAAGGCCAAAGAGGAGATATATGGATGTGCTAAAAGAGGACATGAAGTTAATTGGTGTGAGAGTAGAGGATGCGCCGTTTCCCTGGACCCCCAGGGCATATAGCCCACCGGGTTCCATCGAAGGGAGAGGAGAGTGGATCGGCCATCTGGGCTTTTAATTAAAAAAAAATGTCCTGGGCTTCAGCTGGGCTCAGGCAGGTCCCCAAGGGCTGGGACTCAGGAGCAAGGGAGTACGCCCCTACCCTGAGTGTAGTGTCCCCGGGAGAATCGTCCGACCAATAGGTCTCAGACAAGGCCTCCTCTCTAAGCTCCCTTACCTGGAGCAGCATGCCCTCGATTACTGGGAGGTGTGCCAGATGGGGCCGGAGGCGGATCATCGCCTCCATGCGAGCACATATCTGTATGCGCTCACCAGAATCCTGAAGATCATAAAACTGGTAGCAGAAACTGTTTAAGTTCGTCCACAACACCATCACCTCATCTCTCTCGCTGGCTGAGTCCATTTTGGCCAGATTGTACTGTCAGAAACGGCGTGTGATGCTGCCGAAAAGTGTTTAGTGGACTCAATTAAAAGACCAGACGAGGAAGTGTTGAACAAAACCGTCTCTTTAATAAGAGAGCTAAAACTAAACAAAACCATACGAGACAAGGTGAAACACAAAACTCACGGTCGGTATCAGTCCCAGGTCAGAGCCAGCAAACACATACATCCAGGGCAATCCAAAGTTAGTTGTCCAAAAGGGAAAGTCCGATAATCATACACCGTGGCAGTCCGTAATAAGTGGGCGAGGCAGAATAGAATAGTAAGAGGTAACAGTCCGGGATCAGAAACACAAAATACCAAAAACCAAAGAAAATGCTGGAAAGTCAGAGCTGGGGTCTAGAACAATCTGGCAGCGTCCTGGTGGGAGGACACTGCCTAAATAGAGGTGCAAACAATAACGAAACAGGTGAAACCAATGTGAGTGATGAAGAACGTAAAAAGACCGAAACTAAGGTGAAACAAAAACAGGAAGTACCGTCAAAATAAAAGCCGGACAGGAAGCAGCGGAACCGAATCATGACAAAGAGGAGATATATGGATGTGCTAAAAGAGGACATGAAGTTAATTGGGGTGAGAGTAGAGGATGCCGAGGATAGACTTAGGTGGAAACAAATGATTCGCTGTGGCGACCCCTAACGGGAACAGCCGAAAGAAGAAGAAAGCATAGTGAAAGAAGTTATTTGCACTGAGTGTACTGTAGAGCAAAAGCTGCTGGTAACTGTGGCCAGAAAAATGGTAGCCTTTACCTTAAGTTGAGCAGTTTAAAATTAATACATAAACATGTAATACGTGGTTTATAACCAGGGGTGTATTGCTATTTAATGAAGTACTGGAGTGCACGCATATGTTAAGTTGCATTTGGTTTCAAGGGCCATGTAAACACTTTTCCTATGGTGGCAACTGTAATTGCCCACACAATCAAATATTAGACTGACTTTATTCTCTGGTGTGGCAGAATTAGCCATTTATCACAGGGTGAATGTTATAGCTGCAAATCATCTTATTAATAGGGTGTAATTAGCCAAACCTAGAGTTTGGCCATCCTGTGTCCTGTTTGTGTCATGTAGACTTACAGCTGATTACTCACTGGTACACAAGTAAAACAGCCTGTTTAAATCCCAGCATACAGGTCAGTCGTTTCGGGGACAAGGTCAGACAGGCCAGATTGAGAGCCCATGCCATGCTTTTCCCTGTTTTTTGACTTATCTGCAATGTTACAATGGTGAATAATCATCTTAGACGTGACCTAAAGATCAAACAATGAGGTGTAAGTATGTTCTAGTATTTCTATGCAGAAGTAACTGGGTTTATACATGTCTTGCAAAGTCTCGCTCGTGAGACTTTGTTTTTTAACAAAATAAAGTATTACATGATAGTTTGAGGATTTCCTTGAATGGTCATGAAATCCAAGCCATTATGCATTCATGTGAGCTTGCCTGACATCCACCAGGGCCTAAGGTTACTGCATGTCTGGGAATGTTCCTGTACAGGGTCTTGCTGTTTTACCTGAGCAGGTCTAACCTACAAGCAGCTGGCCAGTGAAGCACCTAGGGTTGGTGAATGATCAGCTCAGCAATGGTGGATTCCCCCAGAGCACAGTACCTGTTTGTTTTGCCTGCTTGAGGTCATTGTGTCTGCAGCATGTGATGTGTTGCAGGTTAACGACCGGATTATTGAGCCATGATGTTATTGTGGGCGCTACACTACCTGCTTGCCTGTAACGCAAGAAAATTGTGGGGGAAGCCGCAGCGATCAACGGCTGAATTCACTGACCTTGGAGCTACTTGAAAGGGAATGAAGTAACCAAGATTAAAAATTGAATGGCTAGAAATGAGCGTGCCATGGGCTCTTTAACATCATAGTATGTTATAAATCCTTTATTAAAATATATACTGCTTATATATGGAGACCTAAAGTGTTACCAAGACAATAAGATACAAGTGTTGGTGGTAGTGACAGTACACTGAGTACAAAATGTGTTACTGATGCTAATGTTAGTGAAAGATAATTTATTGTTTTACACATTAAGATCAACTTTAAAAATACATTTTGAGACAAGCCCCTTCTGTAAAAACTCCAAGATTCAGTAAGGCCCTTCAGACCACTTCAGTTTATATAATTATCAGTTAATAAAGTTACAGTATTACAAACAGAGGGAATGTAGCAGTTTTCCATTTTGATAATCCAGCCAAAGTGAAACTGTCTCTTGAGTCTTAACTGTTAAAGTTTAGGTTAGTGAGGATGCTGCAGCTGTTTTTTCAGTCTGTCTAACAACATCAGGCTTCCCATAAGCTCAAATCAGTAATTGTTCAGTAAACCAACTGAGTAGTAAATCAAGAATCTTTATTGTCATTATGCATAGCACAACGAAATTTTTTCCAGCAGCTCTTGGCTTAAAAACACATTATTTATATAACACAAATTCTATAAGTCAATATAAAAGTATGAACAAATAAAGAAGGATGTATGGGACCTAATCAAGTCAGCAGCATAGCAATTGCATTTGAGACTTATCACAACGTTTCTGCGTTGTATCAACATAGCACACAAATTCTTTTTCCTTCTCAATTTTGAGCCCTTGGTTAATAGAACCTAGCTTTTCAAGTGGAACAGATCACATCTGAAATATCCCTTTGTAAGGCCTTCACATACTCAGACCTGCTTGCCAGTGACAAAAGGACAAACAGTGATGTGGTAATTGTAGTTGGGGCAAATGTCAGGATGAGAGTACAGAGCGGAACACACCTTCATTATGTTGCCTAGAAGTCACATGCGGTGTCATCATCTTCA